TACTACTACTACTACTACTAGTATATTACACAGTCAAGTCACCATCCCAGCATGCAGAACCCCCAAACCCTAAACCCTAAACCCTAAACTCGAAACAAGGCTTGAATGTCTTAGTGCACCAAATGCTCACGACCCAGGGCAGGTCTTCTGATCAACTCGCTGTCTTCCTGGCTGGTCTCAGCTTACTGGTGCGTCGGCTTTGGCGAGTGGTGCATTTTGTGACTTGGGCCCGTTCAGATCTTCACGGTTTGGGGTTCAGGGCCTTTGAGCCTCAGGGCCAGGGACTCCGGTCTGAGGTTTTGGATTTCAACCTTCGTCGCTTAAGATGTGCGAGGCCATGTAGTTCAACTCTGTTACCAGTACTCATAGCCTCCATGGGCTGGATTTGGAGACTCTGCTGCATGATGTCCATGTCATGCACTGCCTTGGATTTCTGCCAAGTTGTAAACAAGTCTTGCAGACCTGAGAACATCTTCGAGCGATGACAGTACGTTAGAGCGGTCTGTAAGTGCGTCAGATGCTCGAGACTGTTTGCTGAGAGGATGCTCTGCGAGCATGCTTTTGTGGGTTTTGGGACCATGGTGCTGGTCCGCAGCTACGTTCATCTTCATCTGATGCTACTGGGCTTTTTTTTATCTGATTGCAGGCTAGACGGCTCAGGTCAGACCTCGCCTTGAAGTGAAAAGGCATCAGTGGTGACCTCTTCCTTTGAAGTCCTAGCTGCCGCAGACCAGGTTTACAGCTGCCGGATCGCTGGTGTGCTATCTTGCTCGCCGGCAATCATCAGAGCAGTCATACGAGCTTGGCAAGCATCTCGGAGGCTGTTTCAGGAACCGCTCCGAAACATACTTAGTGACTTAGTTGTTCAGCTCAGCGCGTCACGCGGAGGTCTACACGGTGTGTAGTCTGTCAAAAGCCTGATCCGGAGTTCAGGGATTCGGAAGTTGGGTTCGGAGACTTGGTTGAGGGCCAAGCTCTACGTTTCCGATTCACATTCCCTCAACTGTTGGCTTGGCTCCGAGTTTCGGGGAAGAATGCTATGACCCGACAGCGCTCCCCTGGTGATCAAGCACTCCATCACTGGGCTGATTCCTAACCCGATCATTGCTCCTGGATAGATATCTTTTCGAGATTTGGGATTGAGGATCCACATGCCCAGAAGGCAAGCAGTACTTTTTTATCCAGTCTTCTGGTCTTGTGTAGTGAGTTCAGAATCCTTGCTGCAACAATGTTAAGACTAGCGTTGACAGCGACCATCGTGACAAGAATCTCAGCAGAGCAGCAGGAGGAGTAGTCGTGGGTGGTGGTGGTGGTGGTGGTGGTGGTGGTGGTGGTTGTTGTTGCACTGCCGTTGCTGTTGTTGTTGTCGTCGCTTCTTCTTGGCAGTGCTAGTGCTGTTGCTGCTACCACTACCACTACCACTACCACTACCACTACCACTACCACTACCACTACCACTACCACTACCACTACCACTACCACTATACCACTATACCACTATA